GTCTCCTCCAAATTTTCTTTCGCCTATCCCCCAAACCTGTGCCATGGCTGCTGTTGCTTTCCTCACTATGTCTTTTACATGTGCTTCATCGGTGTTGCATTTCTTAAATGTGAATCCCAGATATTTGAATTCCCTCACTTCTTCTATCTTGCTGTCCTTCCATTTCCAGTTCCTTTCTTGCTTAATTCTTTCTTTCCTACAAAAGACCAACATTTTAGATTTATCTGCGTTTAGAGTCAGTTCTTTTTCTTCTAAATATCTTTCTAGAGTTTTTAGCATTTTCTTCATTTCTCTTTCCGTCTCCGCCATCATCGCTAGGTCGTCCGCATACGCCAAAGTGAATATTCTCCTCCTTCCCAGTCTAGCGCCTCCGTTCTGTCTTTTCTTCATAAATTCCTCCACATCCGCAATGAATGTTATGAATAGGAGTGGGCTCAATGGGCATCCTTGCCTCAGGCCTCCTTCTGTCCAGAATTCCTCTGTACATTTATCTCCTACAATTACCCTGTTGATCGTTTCTTCATAGATATCTTTTATTCTGTTGATCAGTTTCCTATTTATGCCGCGTTCTTCCAGAACCTTCCATAGCTTCTTTCTGTTCACCTTATCGAACGCTGCTTTCAGGTCCGCAAAGAAGACGTATAGTTTTCCTTTCTTTTTCGTTATCGTTTTTTCCGCTATTATTTTTAGTGCAAATATATTATCTATGCAACTTCTCCTTTTTCTGAAACCTGCTTGCGTTTCTGGAAGCAGCTTTAGTCTCTCAACTTCCTTCCTCAGTTTTTCTTCCAGAATCATTGCATAGATTTTGTATGCCGTGTCTAGTAATGTTACCCCTCTGTAGTTTTTCACTTCTTTCTTGTCTCCTTTTTTATGTATTGGGTATATCATGCCTACTTTCCATCCTCTTGGCAGTTTCTCTCCGTTCCATATTTTTTCCATTATTTTCCTCAATTTTTCTTTTGTTTCCCTATCTGCATTTATCCACACTTCGTTTTTGAGCCTGTCTTCACCTGTTGCTTTTTTCTTCTTGAGTCTTCTTATTGCGTTTTCCATCTCTTCCTCTGTGAATCCCTCTTCCTCCTCCTTTGTTTCTTCCTCTCGTGGCATTTCTTGATTACCTCCTGCTTCTCGCACGTTTCGCGCATCGTTATTTCCTCTCGTCTCACCTCCCTCCAGTAGTTCCATGAAGTATCTTTTCCATTGTTGCTCCTCAATGTTGTCCTCTGGCTTTTCTCGTCGGCCTCTCTCTTTCTTTATATATCTCCATATTTCTGTTTCATTTTGTATCTCTGCGATTTTGGTCTGCTCTCTTTCTCTCTCTTCCTTCTTCTTTGTTTCGCAGAGCTTGTTGTGTCTTTGTTTTTCTTCTATAAATTCTGTCCTCTCTATGTTTCCTTTTCTCATTTGCCTGAGGGATCGGTTCAGTTTCGTTTTACTGTTTCTGCAGTCTTTGTCCCACCAAGGTTTCTTTCCTACCTTTTGCATTTTGTTCTTGACTTTCTTTTTGCTTATTGCTTTCTTGATTTCTTCTACTAGTTCTTCCCATTCCTCTTGGATTTCTTCCTTTTCTGCTTTCCTCTTCTTGAGATTTTCTTGGTATACTTTTATTCCCTCCTCTGTCCAATCTTCTATCTCTTTCTCTTTTACTTCTTCTCTCTCTCTTATCTCCTCTGTTGTCGCTTTCAGTTCTATCTCTAAGGGTTGATGGTCTGATTCAGTCCTTTCTCCTATCCTGAAACTTTTTATTTCTTCCCATGTTTCCGCGTTACAAATTGCATAATCTATTACTGAATTTCCTCTTGCTCCTGTGAATGTCCATTCTCCCTGGTCGTCGCCTTCCTTATTTCCATTCAGTAAACCTAGTCCCAGCTTCTCTATTTTTTCCAGTAGATCAATTCCTTGTTTGTTCATTATTTTGTCCTTCGAGTATCTCCTACTTCCTTCCTCTTCTCCATCCCAAACTATTTCTCCTTTCTCTGCTGTTCTAGCGTTGAAATCTCCTCCCACTATCATTTTTTTCCATCCATCGCCTTCGATTATCTCTTCCAGTTCTTCTAGTAACTTCTTCTTTCCTTCTCTGTTGTAAATTGAGATAATTTTCCATTTTCCTCCGTTGATTTCTACACCATAACTAATTATTCCTTGTGTTTCTTTTTGTACTTCCTCCATCCTGATGTTTTTCTTCACTCCTGTTATCATGCCTCCCACTCCTCTGCCCCTTTTCTTGTCTCTTGCTGCGTACTGTGTTACCCAGTTGTATTCCTTTGGCAACAGGGCTTCCATTTTTTTCCATTGCTTCTCCTCTATCCACGTCTCCGTAAAGTTAATTATATCAAAATCCTGTATGTACTCCCAAAACTCCTCGTCTTTCCTTGCAATTCCTGCCGTGTTCCAGAATATTGCCTTTATCTCTTTCTGTGCTTCCTTGCTGACTTTACCTTTGTTCTTATTATACTGGGCCGTTGTTATTTTACTTGGATTGCATGGCTTGCCTGTTCTGAAAAAATTCTTTCAGTCCTTCCCCTTCCTTCTATTTGAAAGTCCTTTCATTGACCATTATTTTCTTGTATCCTATCTTCACTTGATTTCCTCGTTCTCTCTCCAATTTCGCGATTTCTGCTATTTCTTTTTGTACATCTCTTTCTTTTTTTGTTAAGTCGTTGTCAATGTACAGTTTCTTACCTTTCAATTTACTTTTCTTTGCCAAAATTTCTCTTTTCTGTTGCCAGCTTTTTAATTTCGCTATCAACATTCCTCCTCGTTGCTCTCTTCTTATCCAGTACGCCTCCTCCACGTCCGCCTCTACCTGCAGTTCTTGTCTCATTATCAGTTCTATTATTCTCTTAGGTGGGCCTTCTCTCGATAAATCCTCTCCTTTCAAAGTGATGTTGTTCCTTCTTTCTCTTCTCTCTCTTGCCTCTTCTTTCTCTTCCAGTTGTATCATTCTTGTCATTTTCTTCTCCAGTTGTTCTTCTTTGGTCTCCAGTTCCTTCAACCTATTTACTATTATCTCCTTTTCCTTCTCCCATTCCTCTTGTTTCTTTTTCCATTCTTCTTTTAAGTCTTGTATTTCTTGTCTTATTGCCTTGTTTTCCTTCTTTATCTCCTCTGTATCATTCTTGATTGTTAGTATAATCTCTGTCAATTTATCTATTTTATCCATGTCTAGCCCTTCTTCGTTTCCTGTATTCTTCTCCTCTTGCGTCCCTTCTGCTGCTTTTTCTATTCTTTTCGTTGGGGGTGACCTGCTCACTGCTCTTGGTTTTTGGAATTTCTCAAGTAGTTCCTTCTCTGTTCTTATCCTATCTTCCTTTTCTTCCCTCTTCCTCTTAAACGAGTCGACTATCGACTCGCAACTATTGGCCCTTTGTCTTCCAAGTTTCTCCGCGTGGGTCGGCCTCCCTTTTCGTTTTGGCTCCTTTTGTCTTTCCGGGCCTTCTCCTGTTTTATTCATTAATTTGAATTTCTCAAAATCGCGTAAACAACAATTAACCGTTTATTTTTGAAACATCGGCTTCTATTGCTGACACTCAATATTGTCGTTATTTACACCTTTTTCTTTCCGTGAAAGTCAATGTTGAGGCGACGTTTTCATTGCACACGATTTCGTTCAACGTCAAACGTTACCTCTTTCGCCGGTGTTAATTTGCATATCACGTCCCGGTCCTTATTTTGGGTTTATTCCATTATTTTGTTATCGAGCGCTTCTCACTTGTGCAATTATGGGTAGATTGTAAAAGGCTGCGTCACATTTCTACGTCCCTGAGCACGTATAATATATTTCGATGATTTACGCAGTTTAACGCATCCAATTTATATGCCACAGTATTCGCCGTAACTATTCACACCGTTAGCACTCAGTTTTAGACATAAAGAATTTACTTTACACTCCCCAATAAGCACTCAAAGGCGGAGCGACCTGACATACGTCCACACGCCACGACAGCCTACACCGGACCCCCATTTTTTTTTTGTTAATATTATGTAAAATTAATAATGATTAAAATAAAAAAATAGATTTTTGTTTATAGTATTCCATGAAAGTATATATTTAAAAAAGATGAAAGTATATATTTAAAAAAGAATTTAATTGCATACAATAATTTTCCTAAATCTTAATTATTTGCTTTATTACCACTTTGTGTATGACTTGAATTTATTTCTATTTAATTATATTTACTGAATACTATAATTCTGTTATTCTGCATTGTATCGATGAGAATTAATTTATTTTTATTTCATAAAAAATTTAAGTATCTTATCGTATTTTTATCGTTTATATATGTAATCATTTTTGCATAAATCCGTTTAATATCTTGAAGTAAATTAAAAATTTGTTCTGCTCTTTAATAATAAATCTCCATTCGTGAATTGTGATTCGCGAATCTACCAATCTGCTGTATTGATATTGGTTATATCAAATATAACACAAAAAATTCGTTTAGCTCTCATGTCCAACAATTTCATATGTATACGATAAAAAAATATAATTATTGACTATCACGAAATATTTCTAAATATCTAATTATAATTATATTCTTATTTCTAATTATGATTATATTTTTTAAATATAATTAAATAAAGGTTCATGGGATAAAATCAAAAAATTCAATAAAAGACTTAAAGGACCAGCGCAATGATGAAAAGATGCGAAAAAACGGTTATATTAATGTAATAAATCCAATAAAACGTTTATTTAATTTTTAGTGACAAACACTGCGTTTCGATCCAATTCGGATCTTTTTCAATGTCAAATCGCAAAATAACAGTAAAAACATACAAATAAAATGAAATAAAATCAAATTAACAGTCATTAGTAATAATAAACGGAAAGACGCAAAACAAAATAAATAATAATAAAAGAGTCAAAAAAGTCGAAATAAATTAACGCAAAATAACGGACGAAATTCAAACGGACAAAGAAGCGCAACGCATTGATAAGCAAACCCATATTGCAAAATCTCCGTGTGCCATGAAAAAGCAAGCTACACCCCTCGATGACACATGCCGAAAGGAAAAACCATACAAACAGGCTCACATACATCTCATTAAAAACCGTCAAAGAGAATGTTTACAATGTTTACTTTGATCAATTATCAATAAATCCATTCGATTCGAATGTGATATCAGTAAAAACTAATTCGAGCAAGCTTAATGCATCAGAAAATATAAGTGTTTTAGCTTTGACGCCTACTATAGCAGTAGTTCATTGGATGCCACCCAAGAAATTGAATTGCGTGGGCGTGACCTACGAAGTGCATTGGAAGTCAGTTATATTAGTGAACGGCACGCAACAAAAGAGCGAACAAGTTATCAATGTGCCGAAACGTATGGCAGATGGCAGATTTTTCACAAAGATTAACTTGTCGCTACCAGTACAAAATTACTTGATATACGTGTGTGTCCAATTAATTTCTGCGATTTCTACAACGAGAGTTTAAACGAGATCGTTCACATAGCCTCAGAACCAAACAATATTACTTTGAGCGGGGTCAACATAAATCGCATGAAAATTTCATGGATCTCAAACATTAATTCGACGATCTCTTTTATACTAGAGTACAAAGATATTGCAGCAGAAAAGTGGCAAACAGTGAATTATATTAAAATGAATTGTAACAATGAAATAACATACCATGTCAAAAATTTACAATCGGGAACTTTATACAAGTTTCGTTTGATATTGAGATATCTTGAATATGAGGAAAATTTTATATGGCCCGCTGATGAAAGATTTATTTTTTCAACACTTAATAAGCAAACGAAGATACCCATATAGTACAATAAGGTTGCGGATATATTGAAGAATAATTTCATTAAAACATTTCAATATTGCAAATCAATTGCGAAAATCTGCTGAGTTATTGTTATAGAATTGTGATGAAGTTAAAGTGTCCGCTTTTTGCAATAAAATAATATTGCAGTGTAATATATTGGAAAGAATGTAACGTTACTGCAACCATTTAATAACATTACGTATAAAATATTTTTGATTTTGATGAATGAATATCTTGGAAACATTTAATTAAATTAAAAAGCTGATATAAATACTAGTTTGCGATATTTAAGATAATATATTGCAAAATTATTTTTTAAACATAATATCATATAACATAAAATGTTACATTTTTATACAAAATTGTTGTAAACTATTACTTACGAATCACTTTCTTTTATTTTAAATGTTTTATATTCTTATAATGGGTATTTTATACACATTTATATATTAGTTATAAAATTAATTATACATTCCTAATTTCATTTTTATTTAAAAATTTAAAAAATTCGTTATAATTATATATATTTGCATGTGAAAAGTACAGAAAAATGCATAGAAAAATATAATGATAGATATAATAATATATATTCTTAATATAGTAAAAAGATATATTATCGTTCAAGATTAATATCGTACATGAAGTGAAAATATATCGTAAAATATATTGTAACATTGATATAAAATGTTATCTATATTTTAATAAAAAAATAGCAATGCTTATCTTTAGCTTAGAATTATATTTACTCGACCGATATTATTTGTATCAATAATTCATTTGACTACTGCAAAAAAGTAAAATTCATCGCATATACACAGATATAAAAAAATATATTATTACATTATTTTTATAGATAAATTAAATAGTGTTATAGTTCTAAAATGTTTTCAAAATATAAATATTCTACTTTTATCTTCTACTTTTATCGCTGTAAGTATATTTGATGTAGGTGTGGACTTTAATTGTAGATTATACAAATATATCTGATATAATATCTAGAGATTTAATGAAAATAGTAATTTACTTATGTAAAACTAAACGAATAAATTTACCAAAAAACAGTAAATTTTATAATACATATAATTACATAATTAAGTCGAAATTTTATAGCAGTGTGTCGTCAACGCAGAGGTAATAATGAACAATTTTTGTTTTCAACAATGACCGATATAGAATTGGCGATTCTACATGAAGTATCTTGCCGAAACATTCTGGATGCATGTGCGATAACTAAAATTGCACGAAATCAAATTACATTTACAAAACTTTTTGGTAGTGGTGCATTCGGAATGATAAAAATTAATTTTTTTCAAGCAATGTATCAAAATAATTTCTGGATCGACAAAACAGATATGTATTTTCTAATAAAGATATAAATTACATGAATTTTTATAATAGATTATAAGTAATATAAAATATACATGAGACAACAAGCATGCCGTTTATTATATATTTTTTATTGAATTATTAAATATAAAGCAAAATATAATATTACTTGACATTAAACAATACATTTTCAAATAAAGTACGTATGTAAATTTGTGTGAAATATTTCGCAGGAGTTTCAAGGAAAGGTGAAAGACTTAGAAAAATCGGGCACAGAAATATCCGTTGCAATAAAAACGCTTCAAAAAGATGTTTTATTTCATAAGAAAAAGAAATTGTTAAAGGAAGCTAAGTTTATAAGTCATTTTCAACACAAACATATATTAAGATTGTTGGCCGTTTGCTTAGATGGAGATTCTCCGTTATTAGTGTTGGAATTGATGGAAACTGGTGATCTGTTAAGATATTTGAGAGAATGTCGAAATTTGCAAGCGTCAGATTCGCTTGCTCTGCGTTTGCAAGATTTATTCGCCATGTGCGAAGATATTGCGCGAGGTTGTTGCTACTTGGAAGAGTTGCGTTTTGTACATGGAGATTTAGCGTATCACAATTGTTTAGTATCTTCGAGAAATCGCGAATATCGTGTCATCAAAATTGGAGAGTTTGGGCTAGCTAAAGATATCTGTAAGGATGATTATTATCGCGTGGTAATTACAGTTATGAAAAAAATTAATGACTAAGAAATAAATTCTTTTGAAAATACTTTCCATTTTTTATCATAATAGTATCGTGCGTTGTTTCTTTAAGTAATATAGAATATAAATAGTTTTTATTTATATATTTTATATATTTATATTATATATTATATATTATTTTATATATTTTATTTATATATAGCAAGAGATGAATAAACGTTTTTTATTTTGCACGTATTCCAAAAATGAATAACCAGAACATTTTTAAAATCATGTTTTAGGAAAGAGAAGATTTGTTTCCTATTCGCTGGATGGCACGCGAATCTTTGATGATCAGAAAATTTACTTCTCAAAGCGATGTTTGATCATTTGTGGTATTAATGTGGGAAATTATATCGTTGGGTGAGCACCCTTATGGTGCCAAGGCTAATGAAGAAGTGATAAATTATGTACGTGCTGGAGGCAGGTTGCCAATGACTTTTAACTGTCCGTCACTTGTATCAGTTGATGCTACGTTGCTGGAGTGCAGCGAGTGCCAGATCAAATTTCGAATTTTGTCTGAAAAATATTATAGCATTAAGAAAGAACATAGAGGATGCCTTACTGAGTCCAATCGATACTATTTAGTCGATATACTTAAATTAATGTTTATCTTATTTTCCAAACGACTCAATAAATCTTAATGTAGAAAAAATATTTCTGGGATATTTCTAAATTGATTCTGTTATTTTTAGGTTTAATCTTAATGTTATATATATCAATGAAAATTAAAGAAATTTTGTAAAATTTTGATTATTATTAAAAAATATCAGATCCGTTTTCATGATTGTACAAAATCAAATAATATAATGATATATCTAATTTGTGTTTTTGAGTAATCGAAGCGAAATCTAATGATTGCGGTTATAATATATATATATATAAACAATATTTTTTCAACGTGGGAATATAATTAATTTTCGATATTATATATAACCGATAATTACAAACAGATTGTAAAATTTATAAGTGAAAGAGGAAACGCGTATAATATCCTCTATAATTAGTTGTGAATATATAAATATAATAATTATTTTTGAATTTATAACAGTTATCATGAATGAACTTTTTGCATCATTCGTGATAAGTATATACTGCGACGCTTCTTCAATTCAATTCAAAGGGATCGCGACACTCCTCGAGATGTTAGATGGGAGCGTGCGCGGGGGAGCGAAAACGCCGTCAAAAAAAAATAATAATGAAATTAATATACTCGCGCTCGGCGGAACAGGGCGTTCTCGCGCGAGCCGCGGCGGAGCGGAGGCCGTATCGATATATCGAAAAGCTGGGCGCCAGATGTGGTCTTTCACGCATCAGTTTTCGCGAAAAGCCGAAAGACGCTAAAAGCGATAGCCCGCTTCGCCACGAGCCGACTAGCTCGCCTAACGGTAGAGGGGAGGGGTTTTGAGAGAAAATTAATTGATTATGCGAGATTTCCCTAAGACGACACATGACAGACAAAGACGGAAATCGACAACCAAGCGAGACGAACACTTAAATTACGCGATTTGAACAAAGAAAGATAACATGTTTATTACTAGAAAAAAAATAAAGTAACAATACGAGTGAATAATAAAGAATCAATAATGAAATAGATCAATTTTGAACATTAACTCAGCAATCAATAAGAAGCGATAATTGAACTGAGATTAACAATTCCTTACAGAGACTTTAGTTCGTTATTAATTCCACGAGAGACGAGAACGAATCATACAAATCAAGTTGAAACGACGGTTCACAATAAATTCGAACGACATACACAAGCGAAAAATACAATACAATTAATCCTGGCACGAAAAATGCGACGGTATTCTGAGCAAATATCTGCTCGCAATTGATAACGAAAACGAGAGCACTAAGACAATCCGGTGGGTTATCCGAGCCCGTTTTTATGGCCGGAGTTCGCAGGACTGAGCGAGACTTTACGGAATACCAAGGGTTTTCGACACGGAAATATTCGCGGATAATACTCAAACGATAGCGTAATTTCGGCAGCCAGATCGACAACTTATCGCCACGGACTTTTCCTCGCAATTTCTAGTTCGCAGAACAAAACGACAGCCTAATAATTCGACAGCATAAGTAACCAGAGATCGAAAATACTTAATACTTTTGCGAAGACGGATCACGTATGCGATAGGCGGACGATATTCTCAAATTTCGATAGCCGACGGTAGACGGAGACTTTTCTCCGCCGAGGTTTCGCCTCTTTCTTCCGCGCAAGCCGCTCAAATTTCACTCTCAATACTTTGGCGATTATCTCGCCCCGCGATTAATTCGGCAGATACAAATTATCGTTTATTACGCGCTATTCGACGGCGCAATAAACGTGACGAAGACGCAAATATTCTATTATCCTTTATTACGCTCGATGCGACAGCGTAATAGGCGCGACAATGACGCAACTACTTTCACGCTTACACTACAGTAAAGTATCAGAAACGCTCATACGCACTCTTAACAATTAACGACGACATACACAATTCGACATCAAAAATCGCCCTGAGATACGTCACGGAATATTCTACGCGGCAACGACAGCGGTACGACAACACGGGCGGTATTCGCTTTCGCGATCCTTCGCGCACGCGGTCGATATTCGACGGTCGATAGCTACGCGTACAGAACACCCGAAACCCGGAGAGAGACGAACGTTGCCTTATCAATTTAACGCTGACGTTACGAAGGTCCTTCCTCGGTCGCTTGCCTCCGGTCGCCCGACAAATTCACGAAATATCACCGTCTCGGCCTGAGCGGTCGCGAAACACGAAAAAGATGGCGACGGCGGCAGAACGGCCGACACGCGGACGAAATCGCGTACGTGGCTTACACGAAAAGATGGACAACTTCACCGATAACGTTTCCTCCTGCAGGGGATGGTCCTCGGCCTCGTCCTTTGCTCGGTCTCTTTATCAGCGACAGACACCCGTTACACAAACGACAACGACAATACTTTGCAAAAGCGACTGCTCGCAATTAGCGCCCGCACTAGAATGATCCTGGGATCTCGCGGCCCGGGGTCGATAGCTGCGTCAATGACCGCTTAGCGGGGTGCGCAGCCCCGCGGCCAATCAGGATACGGCACGCAAGAGGTCCTAGTGCCTCGCGAGATCCGCGGCGCTTTAGCGCTTCGTGCGCAATTAATTTGATTTGAATTGTTTAATTGCTGTCGTGGGCCCATTTACAAGGGCCCGTTGGAGACTCCACTGTCGTTGGTCCTCCTCGGAGGGTAGCGGCGATCGGACTTCCGTACCCCTATCCGGGACGTGGGTGAATTCCCCCGGTATTGTCCTTGGCTAAGTATTTTCCAAGCGCTACTTTATCCTCTGTTCGCTGTCGACGAGCGTCTTAACGCAATCTTCCTTGCGGTGCTTTCGATCCTCCGGATCTTCTCCGGCGAGATGCCCGTTGTCGTTTATGACAAACAAATAAAAATTCGATACAATTAATAAAAAATGTTTATAAAATAACGATAGCGCTCGTCTCTCCGGGGATTTTCGATAACGTTCTCTCGAGGTCGATTCTGCCGCGGCCGCTCGGCCCGCGCCCCGTAAAATTTCGGGGCGGATGGACGCGCTAAAGGACGGCAACGTCACAATACATATATTATATCTTTTTATTTAATTACTTACTATATACTCAAATTATATTGATGATTACAAAAGTATGCAGTCGTACAAGATGTTTCTACAACAAATCAACATACAAATCTTTAAGTCTGGTTGCTTATCTGCCCACCGTCAAGCGTATGCTTTATTGGGCTCGCAGAATAAGATTAGAATGCGAATTCGGCGAAGAGTAAAGAAAGGGAAAGCAACTTTTATCATTCTGTTATAGTGAACAGTTATAAAATTTAATAATATAGATAAAATATATTTAATAATATAGATTATAATAATATATAAAAATTTGATAATATAAATACAATACATTTAAAAATATATAGAGAAAATAATATATAGGAAATGTGTTCTCCACATAGTTTATTTGTTATTTAATATAGGTTATAACATATTATTAATTTAGATTATCACACTTTATTTAATTATAATAGTTAATAATATATATTAACATATTTTAATAATGTAAATAAAATTTAACAAATAAATTTAAACAAAATAATTATAATAAAAAATGGAAAATAATAATGAAATTATAATGAAAAATATTTTTGGTCTTTAAATATAATATAATAAATTATAATAATTATTCAATATAACCACCATTTTCTTCTAAACATAGAGCAATTCTGCGCATGAAATTTTCTCTCACTCGTCTTAGCATGAGAGGATCTATGCACACGCATTACGAATCCTGTTTTTAAGAATTTCTGCATTTTCCGGCAGGGTATGGTAAACTTTATTTTTTAAGAAGCCCCACATGAAAAAGTTCATGGGTGTGAGATCCGGAGAGCGTGATGGCTATTCCTGAGGACCATGAAGTCCAATCCATCTCCCAGGAAATTTTTGATTTATGATAGTTCTTGCCAAAATAGAAGTGTGAGCGGGATGTCCATCTTGTTGAAATATTATTTCTAGCCTATTAACTAGTGGCACATTTTCAAGGTGTTCATCAAGCCGATGGAATAAAAAATTTGCATAATAATCTGCATTGCCGTGAATAAATTCGGGAATGATAATGTGTATCCCCTACTATTCCTAGCCACACATTTATAGCCCATCTGCCTTGAATGTTTACTTCCTTCATACAATGTGAATTATGCTGCGCATAATGATGCTCATTTGTCTGTTTATGCATCCGTCACTTTTAAAAATTGCCTCGTCACTCCAGAGAATATTTTTCAAAAATATATCGTTTCCGACATCATTGAAATTCACCTGCATAAATCAATTATATATTATTAGTATAAAGTTGACTATTGATATCAATCGACAACAAAACGTCTGATATGTTGCAACAAACAAATAGAAAATAAATTTTTAAATATAACTATACTAATATAAATATACTTTTAAATATAACTATACTAATATAAATATACTTAC